TTGGCCCTCTAGCTTATGTTAAGGTCATTACATTTTTTTTTTAATTGAAAAACCCAGTTACCTGGTTATTACACATTATAAAATTGTTTTTCTATTACGTTTGTAGGGCCCAAATTCAGAAAATATTTCACTTTTCTTCTTCTTCCTCTTTCATTTGTTTATCAGCAAACAACTTCCCTTGGGAAGCAAAACATGTTTATTCATTTGCAAGTCAAGTAGCTGACGCCGCATTGAGCAAACTAGAAGGCTGAAAAAACAATGTCAATTCTAAAGAACTAGCAAAATCCTATAAAGTTCTCTTTTCCCCCCGCCCTGAAACGGGTAAAGGATAAATTGAGCATACAAGCTGTACTATAGAAGCAAATAGTCACCATTATTTTGTTAAGTGAAAATGAAATGCTACCTGTTGCCTATATTTTTAGTTACTATAGACTTACAAAATCTACTGCAAGACACCAAGAAGAATGACGAGTTTAACTGTACCTATCCACGTCTGTACCTCATTTCCAGGCAGAAAGCTTTCTGGGACGTCAGGAAATGGTACAGTGCCCAAAGTTTCAGTGACAGTGGTATGCCAAAGGGTATGTGTGTGAACTGCAGGGAAAGTTGCATGGGCATAAAAGCTACTCTTGGTGTGATTGTTAATTTGACAATAAGCTGCCATTAATTACTAAGCCCTCACCCAGCTCATGTATGATTTAAATAGGAAGAAAACTGATTTTTAAGCAATTTTTAAGACACCTCTTGCCTAAAGGACTATATACGTCTAATAAACTGACGCTATGTCATCATCTGGAGTTATCAAAAATTGAATACAGTCAAGGCAACCCATGTAACGCAAGAATCGTTTTGTTTTTAAGTACAAATTACCAGTATTGTTGGAGTTCACAGGCACCATGTTTTTTCATGAGGTGGCATCAAGCCATTATTTTGTGCCATTTAGGAGAGAAAAAGAATGCAGGCTGTATGTTTCAGCTCAATGTATGATCCAAAGCAATATGTTTATAAGAAAATGTTTGACATACTAATTATTTTATATCATTTAAAGCATACTGTAGCAACTTGTTTGTTTAATATATGTGGTTAATTTTTAGAATTATTTTTTACAATTTCCAACCAAAGTACTGTATTTTATATAATTTATTGTGAGGACCTTCTCATGGAAACCCATAGAAGACAAACTGGGGGCAAATATCGCTTGAATCTGTATTATCAGTTTCTTATAGCCACTGTGCTAATGTGAATTTAAAATGACCTGAACGTCTTCTGATGTGGATATTTCGATGCTGACAGCAATTTAGTCTCCTGGTTTGATTACAAGGGAGTAACTAAGAATATATTTAATTATAAAGCAAATATTCATATGATGGGAAGGTAGGAGGACAGAAAACCACTTAGTCAAACCCCTTCTGAAATAAAATGTTCCTTTTCTGAATAGTTTGTCCTAAGGTGTTTAAAAACGTTAACTTTACTTAAGGAAAATTCTGCTCCGAATAAAGTTACAGTTTAAGAAAAATTGATTTGAGTGTTCTGTTTTTGTTTGTATGTTCTTCCATCAAACAATAACATTACTATTTCCTAATTTGGAATTTTGATATTCTATAACTTCTCCTTAACGCTTAATATGGTGTTACTGCTGTGAAATTGAAAGCATACGCCTAGACTAGCAGTAGGAAGCATTATCTTGCAATGTGGGGGCTTTTTAAATCTAGCTTTTAGCAAGTTAGGTGAGTAGGAATATTTGAAAAAAAAAAAAGCAGGTCAAAACAACTTCTTGTTGCTGATTTCATCATGATTAATACCTACCTTGCGTTTTTCTAGCTTTCATAGTACACTCACATGTACAATATAAACCTTCAAAAGAAGCTCATAACTTCATGAATTCCATACAGAATTCCACAGGAAATTCTTCTCCCAAACATTCTTTGAAGCCTTAAAAGAATTTTGAGGGAAAATGATTTACCAATTAACCTTGTATTGGTGAATCCGTAGGTGATGTGCCCTTCCCCATCAGAACATCCCCGGACCTGGATGGGGGAAGGGTCGAAGACTGAGATGAGCTCCCAGGGCCTCTGAATATATTGATATATATCAGGTAGGTAGAAAGACACCATGAGTAAGACTGTCCCAGGCTGAGAGCAACTCCAAGGGTCTCCAAGAATAGAATGATTTCAGGGGCTTCCAAGGAGCAGAATGACCTAAGCATACCTGTTGTAGAATAGCAGAATTATTATAACAGGAGTTTTTAATTTCTCCACAAGCTTGTTTAATGAGAGTCTTATGACACTGCCTTAGTTTCTCTTTCGAGTAAACAAGATCACTAGGATGATATGACCCCTAATTTATTAGGTTGGACGTATGAAGTGTCCATTTTTGTAAGTTAGAAAAAATTAGTAAAATACCAACAATTTGATATGGTTCAACCAATTAGAAATAAGAAAATGGAGATAAAGGTTTGGCTGATCAACAACGTTTATAATAATGCTTGTCCTACCTAGTTCAATGAAAGCGAATCTTTGTAGAAAGGTGGGTTGAAAAAATTGATAAGGTATGACCACCTTCAGCAGGTTTGGAAAATATGGCTTCTGCCTCTCTCACCTTCCAGGATGGCCCACACTATCTGTGGAGTGTGTATTTCTCTGAATAAACCTCCTTTCACTTTAAAAAAAAAAAAGAAATATATATGGCTTCCTACCTATGTCAACTTGAGTAATCTCTGTGTTAGGTCAGAGTTAGAAAAATGAAATTGAACACATACTGCTTTTCGTATTTGAAAGTGACTTTCCTGACTCTTGGTGTGCCCAGCTGTTCTTGTTTTTTCTTCTTAGTTTACATATTTTCTCTGGATAAACTCACCCTTTTGCTGCCAAGTTAATCCTTCTCAGTCCTCTCTTCTGAGTTGTCACTGGCCTCTTTTTTAATTTTATTTTTATTTTTTTATGGAAATATAGTTGATTCACAATGTGTTAATTTCTGCTATACAGCAAAGTTCTTCAGTTATACATATATATAATTCTTTTTTTAGTATTCTTTTCCATTATGGTTTATCACAGGACATTGAATATAGTTCTCTGTGCTACACAGTAGGACCTTGTTGTTTATCCATTCTGAATATAACAGCTTACATCTGCTCACCCCAACCTCCCACCGGCCTCTTCAACTGTCTAGTGGACATTTCCAGTTGTACGGCTCGCAGGAATGAAAGACAAACCTACTCATGATTATTTCCCCCAAACCTTTGTGGAGCTAGAACCAAGGTATCGTCCATTCATTCATTCATTCATTCATTCTTTCAACAAGTGTTCTCTGAACGCCTTCTCTGTGCTAAGCATTATTCTAAGAGCAGGATATACAAAAGTATATTGTAAAAATTATGAAAATCCCTAACCTCTTGGAACATACATTCTATCAAAATTTCAGACAGATAACAAAATAAATTAAAAATATAGTATGTTAGATGACAATAAATGTTATGAAAAATAAACAAGGAAGGTGGAAAAGGAAGTGTGTGTGTGTGTGTGTGTGTGTGTGTGTTTGGAGGGGGGGCATCATTCTCGACCTTTTCTCTTTCTCCTTTCCACCTCATTAATATTTCACCTTTTCTTACCCATCTTCTTCAAATTTTTGATGCTACTATAATTCACACGGACATTTAATAGGTCTCTCTTTCCCCACCCCACACAGTCCCAATTCATCCTCCACGTTTCTGCCAGAGAAATCTATGGAAAATAAAATCTGATCTTGTTAGTTGCTGTAATTGATCAGCAGCACAGGCTTCTCAAGCCAGGTACTCTCAGAAACCCCTCCTGGGTGAAAACAATAATCAACAACATCTATAGCCTGAGAAATAGCAGAAGCTGCCTCTAGAAGCAAGAGATAGTTCTGAAGGCCTTTTGGAGGCATATATTTTTAACTTTAAAATTCACGTGAATTTTTCTATACTAACCTTGACGGTTTTAAAATATTTTAAAGTTCTAACTTATCTACCAGCCAAATTACTTTTTTAGCCCCATTGATACCTCTACCCCAAGGCCGCCACTTCCTTCCATCCAAGAAGGTGCTATGTTTAACCTGTGGCTTAAAGCAGTTTTGTCGAAAGTGTACAAAATGAAGGAGAAGCTCAAGACGATTCACCGGGTCAAGGAAGAAAGAAGGAGGGAGAGGAGAAAAAAATATATGTATATATAAATATATATAAAATATATATAATATAGAAAATATATGTGTATATAATATATATAAATGAATATATATTTTATATATAAATTATATAATCACACATTTAATAATGAGTTGTTACATAGCTATATATAGAACTGCTTACTTTTCAAAAATACCTCTTTTGTATGAATACTTGATCCTTTTTTAAAAACATTGTCAAAAGAAAGGCAGACTGCCACGTGCAGCGCCTCATTTGGATGTGTCTGGAGTCTTGGAAGCTTGACTACCCTACGTTCTCCTACAAATGGACCTTGAGAGCTTGTTTGGAGGTTCTAGCAGGGGAGCGCAGCTACTCGTATACCCTTGACCGAAGAACGGTCCTCCTCTAGCGGGGAAGGTCGTCCTCTTCGACCGAGCGCGCAGCTTCGGGAGGGACGCACATGGAGCGGTGAGGGAGGAAGGGGACACCCGCCTAGCCAGCCAGATCAGCCGAATCAACCCTGGCGATCAATGGGGTGACAGATGTCGCAGCCAGATCGCCCTCACATCCGAGAGAACACCGTTGAGCATGCGGTATATAAACCTGAAGAGATTTTTAACTTTTTGCATAGGTCTACTTGTTTGTCTAGTCGGATCTCTAAAAGTCACTTTAAAGTCTTAACCTAACTAACGCTTAAATGATCACTTAATCCCTAAAATTGCTAAAATTTGTGCTAAAACGGGCTTAATTTGGGCTTGTTTTCACATTATCCAGCATGCCTTGCAGGTGGGAGGGGCATGCTAAATAGTGCCGTGTCTATTGGTGAAATCCTCCGGAGCCTCGCCCACCGAGAGCGCCTCGGGCGGCCCACGGGTCACCTGGCTGCAGAACGCTTGCTGGGCGCTTTGTGCGGTTCTGGTCACTCCGAGCGGACCCAGGTCTGTCTCCCTTCTGCCGCCCCCACCTGCCGTTTCCCCTCGTCTTGTTTCTCCTGGCTCCGAGCTTCTCACTCTCTCTCCATCCCGGAACCACCCCGCATTCATCCTATTCCTGTCTTCCTGCCCCGGTCCTTTGCGCCCCCGCCCCCATCTGGGCAGACGGGGGCCCCTGGGCTGGGGTGGGGGTCTTGTTTGGCTTGGTGGGTGTGCGTATCATGATTAACCCGCTCTGTGGAGTCGGCAACCCTGGGTGGAAGGCAGGGTCGGATGGGCCCCGGGCCGGGCCGCGCGGGCTGAGCGGCCACGCGGAGCGCCGGGAGCCTATCTCGGCCGCCGATCGGTGGCCTGGGCGCACCCGGGGCTGGGGGCCCGTGTCCGGGCGGGGCGGGGGCGTGCAGGATCCGGGGCCGCCACCGCGGGCCTGCCCACCGACGCAAGTCTTGCGGACAGTAGTAATCCTCGGCCTCCCCACCTCCCTGTTGCTGTGAGGCTCAAATCTGATGCGTGTGAAAGTGAATTTTTGCAGAGGTTCCACGGGTGTGTACGTCTCCTCCGCGGCCCTTGGCGTCTGGACTGTAAAGGCCGAATTTGGGAAATCTCAGATTTTCAAGGTCAAAGTATATGATGTTCTGATTCTGTGAAGTCCCGTGCTGCTAGTACAGATAGATGTCTTTACAGCAAATGGCCCCAGCTTCCCAAGATCCAGAGTAATAAATCGTAACGATATGAAACGATATGAAAGCCAAGTGTTTTGTTTTTTTTAAGTTTTAAAATGGTGGTCTGTTTTTACTGAGTGAGGGAAAACGCAATTAAAAAAACGAAAACAAAATCCCTTCCCTTCCAACCACCACAAAACCCCCCAAACAGTTTTCTGTGCCAAAATCCTGAATATTCATTTAGCGCCTGAGCTGTGGGCTGAGGACTCGAAATTGAGGCTGTTCTTTTGCGAGGAGCTGCTGCGTTTGTTTTTCAGAAAACCTGAAAGGCCATGATGGCTACGAAGCCCAAACTCCACTATCCAAATGGACGAGGCCGCATGGAATCCGTGCGATGGGTTTTAGCTGCCGCTGGAGTCGAGGTACCCTACCTATATGCTGTTTCTGCACAGATTTGTCCTACAACGTTGAGACTTGAGGGAAACGTCAATGGCGGAGCCCTGTCCTCTCCCACTAATATTACAGACCTGCTTCAGTGAGTCAGAAGAGTCCTTCCCCTCAAGACTTTTTCTTTTTATAAATGGAGTGTAGTTGATGAAATTGTATTTAACTTTCAGCTTTAATCATTGGCTTCTGATCTACCACCAGTAAATATTTATTAATGAGGAGAAAACGAACGAACCTGCAATTTGCCAGTTAACAGCCAGAACTTTTGTGAATATAGAATCTCTAGGTGAATTTCGTATTTATTCCAGTGGCTTCAGACTGGCAGCCTTCCTATCTTGTCTGCATTCCTTCCTGTATGTTTTGGCCCACGATGGTTTTGGTCTTGTTTTTGTTCTGTTCTTGTAGCTTCTTGTTTATGGAAATTTTCAAATACGAGCAAAGATAGGACATTGCCATGAGATCCATGTACCTGTCACTCAGCTTCAACAACCATCAGCTTTATGCTAATCTTGTTTCACCTATCTCCTCCCCTCTGCTTGCTTTGTTGGGAATATTTTACGTTTCATCTGTGAGTACTTCAGTTTTGCTCTCTAAAAGATGAGCATTTTAAAACATACCCACAATAGCATTATTGCACCCAAAAAAATTAACAACAGTTCCTTATTATCAGCTAACAATCTGATTGTCTCAAACAGGCCTTGTTTCAGTCTGGATCTAAATCAGGTCCACACATTGCATTTGATTACGTTTCTTTCAGTATTTAAAAAAATCTGTAACATTTCCTCTGCATTTAAAAAAAATAAACTTTGCATTTTGAAATAATTTCAGATTAATAGAAAAGTTCTAAAGATAGTGCAGTGTTCCCATGTAACTGTCTCTGTCTCCCTTAATGAAAACATCTTACCTAACCACGTCAAAACCAAGAAATTAACATTGGTGCATAACAAACTATAGACCTTATTCAAATCTGATTGGTTTTTCCACTAATGTCCTTTTACTGTTCCAGGATCCAACATTGTATTTAGTCATTATGTTTCCTTCGCCTTCCTCCATCTGTGACAGTTTCTTAGTCTTTCCTTTATTTCACCACCTTGACGGTCTTGAAAAGTATTGGTCAGGTTTTTTGTAGAATCCTCCACATTTTGGGTTTGTCTGATGTTTTTCTCATGATTAGACCGAGTTTGAGAAAAGAAGACCACGGAGTGAAGTGTCCTTCTTATTACATCATATGAGGGGTTACAGGACATCATGAGTCGTCACTGGTGCAGTGAAGCCTGGTCACTTGGCTCCTTCATTCATCAACTAATTTTCCCTCTGTTCTTTGGAAGAGAATCATTAAATTCAGCCCACACTCCCAAGGATGGGAATTAAGCTCTACCTCCTGGTATCTGCATTTAGAATTCTTATGTAAGGAAGATTTGTCCCCCCCCCCAATTTATTTATTTATTCCATCATTTGTTTATATCAGCATGAATTTAAGTATATTTATTTTATCCTTTCGATTAAAATTCAATAATACTTTCTTTTGTTGCTCAAATAGTTCCAGCTTTGGCCACTGAGGCTCTTTCAGGTTGGCTCTTGTGTCCTTTCCATGTAGCCCTTTTTACTTTTTTTTTCCTTCAACATTTTCTCACTTTCTGACACTCCAAGATGCTCCAGGCTAATCTTGTATTTTCCTTGCCCTAGCCCTAGTACTTCTCCAAACAGCCCTGGTCCCTTTTATTAGAAAATGGTATTAGCAGCCAAGATCTGGGTGCCAAGTGTCTGCATTTGTTTCTGGTGCCATTTGTGGAAGAAACTGCATTTAGAATGCCCCTCATTCTGGATTTGGCGGCTTTACTCTCATTTTAACATGTTCTATTCTCTATATTTCCTGTAAACTACTAGTTGGATCCAGAAGTCTGATCAACTCCAGGCTCCTTTTTTTCTTTCTATCTCTATTTTTTTTTTTCCTGCCAGACTGCAGCAGAGGTGGTACTGTGATCATATTTCTCTTGTGCGACATCCGGGGTGCATGACGTCTGCCTGTCTCGTTTTCAGCGTTGCTGAGTTTGATCAGTGTGTTCCTGTGACCTTAGCCTGTTCCACACACTATGAAGTTTCCTCCATCACCCTTTCACGTGACGTTTGCAGCCTTGATCATCACCATTGTTAGAGGTTACAAAATGGTGATTTTTCTATTTCTATCATTTCACCTAAATTTACTAATTGTGATACTCTTATAAAGAGTAATTGTTCACTGATTACTTAATTACCTCGAAGTACAGTTCAAATAAGAAAAGCAGGATAGATGCTTGATTCTGCCACTTTTATCAATTTTCAGAATAATGAGTCGTTACCCTAGCAACCTCCAGAGGTGACAAATGAGGGTTGATGGGTTTGGGGTTTTGTTTCTTATGGTTGGTTTGGTTTGGTTTTGGTTTCCTTACCTATTGTTATAACTCACCACACAGTGTTTTTACAGTTTTCTAAATTAGTCGATATCATTTTTATATACAAGTTCTGGTTTCTGACTTCTCTTGAAAAGTTGGAAGATCTGATGATCCTGGGGCCTCATTTCCATGAGTAGGGACGGTCCCTAGAGATGGACCTTTCTAGCCTGCACAGTCCCCATCATTCCCTATTGTCTCAGGACATATTTTCTAATTGTGTTAAGAGGAAAGCGGAACAATTCTTGATCCTTTGATCACCTGTCACCTGTCTAACCCCTGTATGCTTCTGAGTTTGCAATTATTTAGTAGGTTTTGAAGAGGGTGTCTTATATGTGTATGTACTAGAATCCCTTGTCAAAGCTCCTCTTCCCTAGCTTCATTCTGCCCCTCCTACTCTGCTGTGAGTCAGCATTCTTGGCTACAGTCATAGAAACCCAACCCTAAGTAAGAAAAACAAAAAGGAACATGGGTCATATGATCTACCTACCCTCAACCAGGCAGGCAGGTGGGGTACAGTAATTAGCCCAGCGTGGGTCTCAAGCCCACTCCTCTGATCAGGGTGGAGGGAGCTGGACTGGCCTCCTTCAGGAGGGCTGACCACGTGGTTTGCAGGAACAATTCCCAAAAGGTGGTACCAGGGGTCCCTCTCCTTTCTGTGCCCAGTGACATTTTCAGCTACATTTGTGCTCATACAGAGCTGAAACAGGAGGGCCAGGCTGGCAGCCGCTGGGTGAGTTCATGATTCCCAGGGTCACGATGTTGGTTAGAGGCTGATGTGTAAAGCATACGCATCCCAGTAACTAGGTACCTCGCACCTGCTGAGAGACAGCCTGGCCTAATTCAGGGAGTCGGCGTCTTCCATCTCACGCTTGGTTCGAGTCCTCAGACCTTGCTCTGTGCTGGATGCTGCTTCTTGGCTGCTTGGAGCTTCATGTGCCCAAAGACCACCCCCACCCCAAACCTGGTCAGATCCTCCTTGTGGAGAGGGGGATGAACAGTGTAAAAGAGAAGATGTGAAGGCCACAAGCTCCTCATTCAGGACTTCTAGGCAGTTCACTTAGAAGAAGGGGGCTTGCGAAGAGGGAGCGCGTGGTGTGGACACGGGCACTTCTCCAAGGATCCCAGCGGGAACAGCACCCCATCAGGGCACAGAGACGGCTGATGATGTGGATGGAAGTCACACACTGTCTGTCCTTACAGCCCGGAGCAGCAGCCAGACAGTCGCCAGCTCCTCCAAGCTCTGCCTGGGGACTTTTTCCCTTCCTCCCTCTCTTACCCTCTAATCTCCTGTTCTGGTGCTAGATTCTTCTTACAGACCAAGTTTTATAAAGTTTGACTGAAGAGAACTTCTCTAGTGAGAGAGAGCATGCATTTTGCTACATGTTCCCAGAAGTCAAAAACCAGAATCGGAACAATTTGGAAGGAATTTAAAAAAAAGTTTTTTTAAATTAAAGTATAGTTGATTTCGGGTGTACAGCAAAGTGATCCAGTTAAATATATCTTGCACATTATTTTCCATTATAGCTTATAACAAGATATTGAATATAGTTCCCTGTGCTGTACAGTAGGTCCTTTTGTTTATTTTATATATAGTAGTGTGTATCTGTTAATCCCAAACTCCTAATTTATCCCTCCCCCACCCCCTTTCCCCCCTGGTAGCCATAAGTTTGTTTTCTATGTGTATGAGTCCATTTCTGTTTTGTAAATAAGTTCATTTGTGTCATTTTTTTTTAGATTCCACATATAAGTGATATCATATTATATTTGTCTTTCTCTGTCTGACTTACTTTGCTTAGTATGTTAATCTCTAGGTCCATCCATATTGCTTGGAAGCACTCGTTTTTTTAAAATGTACATTTCTGGTCTCTCCCAACTACTGGATGTGAATCTCTGAGGGATGAGCCTAGAGACACACACACACGCTTTCCCATGTGCTTTATAAATGATTGTGGTCATAAAAGTGTGAGAGCCGTGGTGCAGAGGGAACACCACCAACATCACACCTGACCAGCTGGGCATTTGGACAAATGCCCAGAACATTCTTGCCCTGAAGTTACTGCTTCCTGGGCCACAGATGGAGTGCCTCTAGGGGCACTGAGGCCCCCTTCTCACACGGGAGGACCCTGGGAGTAGGAGAAGCCATGCCTACACATCCTGATGCCCGTTGAGGCGGAAGAGAGAATGGCCATGTCTGTGCTGTCAGCTCTGTCCCTCCTGGGATGATGGGGCAGCGCAGGGAGAGATGCTGGTGGGGAACCATCTGGGGACTCAGTGGGCATGTGAAGGGCATCAGTACATTAGCACGAGTTTTATCTATCACAAGAAAAGAAACTTTTCAGTGTTTTTCCCCGCCCCACCCAGCCTTTTAGCTTGAAAACTTGAAAACCTACAGAAAAGTTGTAATAGTACAATGGACACCTTCTAACTACATTGACCAGTTGTTAACATTTTGCCATGTTTGCTTCCTTCCCTCTTCTCTCTCTTCTTTATTTATTCTTAATCACTTGAAAGTAAGTTACAGACATCAGCATGTATCTCCCTGTTAAGAAAGAAAGAAATAATTGTCCTAATAACTGCAATATCATTGTCACAACTAAGAAAGTTAACACTAACTTTACAACATCTAATATACAATTCATATTCAGAAGTTCCCTCTCGTCCCCCAAAAGTCTATGTAACTGTTATTTAACTATTTAGCAGTTATAACTGCCCCTCCCCCCCATCCGGGATCTAATCAAGATTCAGATATTTGGTGGTTATTTCTCTAGTCTCTTTTCATCTATCAATAGAACAGAGCCTGCATTTTGTTCATTTCTTCCCTACCCTTCACTTAACAGAAAAGGAACGTGTGAAAGAGGAATTGACTCTCTTGCATGAATTTCTGGCAACAGACGTAAGGAATCAGTTATATGACTTGGAGGCCAAATGACATGAAGAATCATCAGAAGAGGGCTACCTGGCTAAAGTTGATTCCCTTTTAAATAAAGGTTTGCCCTTGAGAGCAGAATTCATGCTTTTGGTCGGGAAGAGGATAGATGGCTAGGAAACGGGAGCCAGACGAGTGGTGAGGGCCACGGAGTGGAAACAGCAGAGGCAGCAAGTTCCCCAGACCGGTTTCCAAACCTTGCACATCCTGGAGGAGCTTAGAAACAAAACAGGCCCTTTATGTTACAGAGTGTCCCACATCCTGCACATGCCCCATTTTCACCTTGCAGTTTGATCCAAGTGAAATCGGTTGGCGAGCTCTTTCCGCAGTGGTGCAGTGTCCTCACTGTGTCACAGCAGGGAGCACGTGATGTCTCAGGATGTCCCCCAGCGGGGGGCTGGGTTTGACCACTTGGTTAGTTGGATGGTGGGATCTCCAGATCTGCAGAGATGTTCTTTCTTTGTCATAATAAGGAACTTGTGGGGTGACACTTTGAGATTGTGTGAATATTCTATGCCCCATGACCCAATGATTTCAGCATCCATTATGATCCTTATCAGAATCAGTTATTACATTATAGGGTGAAAATTGGTGATTTTCTAATTTTATCATTAATTAGGAATAATTCTACATTAATTAGTGCTAATTCTGTAAAAGAGAGCTTTTCTTCTCCCTTTGTTTTCTAGAATCATCATTTATGGACACAGGGATTTTTTTGTTGTGTTCTAATCCATAACTGATATCACTCTTTTCGATATTTAAATTGTCCCAGATGTGGCTAGAGAATGTCCCAGATGTGGCTAGAGAAGCATGCCTTTGCTTTTGACATATCCGTTAGTCTTTGAGTACGTCCTCACTTTCTGACATAACAGAGTCAACCTTTGTTTCTGGGAGTCCAGTGATATTTAGAAACAAGATGTGGGTACTGAGTATGCTCTTTCTCTCTGCTTCTGAGGCAGTTTAACTTGGTATTTTCAGTCCTGAACCTGGAATGACATTTCGCTTCTTTTTTTGGGGGGGGTGTCTTTTTGAATTTAGTTTGATGAAGACTTTTTAGAAACAAAAGAACAGTTGCAGAAGTTGCAGGATGGTGAGTATCAAAATGTATTACTGTCGGTAATGCTGATTTTCTTTTCTAAGAACCCATATTTACGTGGAAGGGCAAAGATACTGCTGACACTAAGAATCCAGACCAGTATCCTAAAACCAGACAAGCAAGAGGAAACAGGAGCCGAAATTGCCAGGAAGTCTCTTCGTATTTAGTAGTTCTATAAAAGCCGGCGAAAGGGAAGGAGCCAGTTCCTCCCTCTGTCCCAGTGGGCAGCCCTTCTCCATCTCTCTCTCCTCCCCCGCCCTCCTCTACCTTTCCCCCCTTTCTTCCTCTCCCTCATCCCCTCACTCCTCATTTTCCACCTCCTCTGAATTACCTGAGGCATCTGCACCTGCTTGAAGTACGCAGGTAAAAGTCACCATTTACACTGGGCTGCTTTCTGAAATAAGTACAAACAGGTGTGACATCAGTGAAAGGCCCCCTTTTAACTCCTGGTCACACCTCCCCCTCCACACCCAGGCCCCTGTAAGCATCCTCCCTCCCGACCATCAGCAGGATCCTGAGGCCCAACTCAAGGCTCCTCGGAGAGGACCAGCTCTGCAGGGCTGTGATGCCCCCGTCATGAGTGACACTGCCTGGCGTCACTAGGCCTGTGCTGAGTACACATCTCCCCTCGACCCGCATGCGCCCCCAAGCCTTGAGCCCCCCCAGGGCTGGGCCGTATGCTATACTTGCAACTGTCCCCAACGTTTGGTGTGGGGAAAGTGTTGGAGACAGGCTTCTTGAAGAAAGCAGTGGGTTACTTTTTGACCAGTGACAGCGTACTCGGTGGTAGGTGGACTGTGGTAGTGGACGCCTGTACATGAGTATCAGCTGGTGACTTAGGTTTCATGATCAGATTGTCAAAGCAGTGCAGTCATAGAACATTCTAGAGCGATGGGAATGTTCTGTTCTACAATGGCCAGGGCAGGAGCCACCAGCCACATGTGGCTTTTGAGCACTTGTAACGTGTCCAGGGCAACTAACAAAGTGAGTTTTAAATTTTTCAAAAGTTTGATTAATTTAGAGTTCCCTGGTGGCCTAGTGGTTAGGATTCTGGGCTTTCACTGTTGTGGGCCCAGGTTCAATCCCTGGTCAGGGAACTAAGATCCTGTAAGCTGTGCATTGCAGCCACACACAAAAAAAATTGATTAACTTAAATTTAGGTTTAACTGTACACACGCTGCTTACTGGCTACTGTATTGGCCAGCGCACCTCTAAAAAGACGTTTTCACTACATCTCCCCTATCCTTTGTCACTGGAGCTAGGTGTTTTTCCTGGGGTGAAAGTCAGAAGGGAAGATTTGGATCAATGCTAGTTTTCAGGCTTGTTTTATGGCTAAATCTGCACCCCTGAATGAAGTTGGGGGAGCTTTACACTGTTTCCTAAGGCTGTGATCCCACTGTCCCTTTTCATTCAGCAGAGCATGTTTTGATGGGGGTGCAGGGAAGAGATCACTTCTAACTCTGGGCTTCCATTCCCAGGTAACCACCTGCTGTTCCAACAAGTGCCAATGGTTGAAATTGATGGGATGAAGCTAGTGCAGACCCGGAGCATCCTCCACTATATAGCAGACAAGCACCATCTCTTCGGCAAAGATCTCAAGGAGAGAACCCTGTACTGTGGCCCCTCTGGCGTGTTCTCACTTGTCCACTTACCGATCCTTAAGTGATTAGTCGTCCTCTACAGCACACCCGTCCACTTCATGTCCTGTATCGTTAGTGGGAACAGGGAACAAAGCCCCAGAAAGGTCAAGACCAGTTGGAAAATCAGTACAGAGAGTCTGAGTAAAACGAGAGAAAGGAATTGAATTCAGCTATTAGAGCCTGTGTCTGGGGTGTGGTGCAGGTTTCAACATGTTTAAATGCTTTGATAGTTTTTTTTTTTTACCTTTCTTGCAAATGTATTATCACTGAGTATTAGGAATAGAAAGCTGCTGTGACATTCAAGGCCCAGGATACTGTGCACTGGATTATAATTTGAACTCAGAGCCTGGTCCTTGTACCTCCTGGATCATGACCCAGGGCAAAGCGTTACGCTCCAGTGTCCTGATGAGTTTCCAGTATGATGGGGATAATAACAGCACATTCCTCATAATGCCATAGGATTCAATGAAATATCGGATAGAGAGTGTTTAGCACCGTGCCTGGTACACACCAAGCATCCTATAAATAATACCCACTATTTTTAAAAATGTGAAGCTCCACCCACACCAAGCCCGGGTGCTGGAGTGAGGGTGGCGGAGTAGGGGCCAGGAGAGAGGACATTCATGGCTCTTGTGCTTTGAGATGCGTGACAGGTTTTTCTGAAAGATTTTTCTGAATCGCAGCTAGAATTGACTTTGCATCTTTGCTCTAAAGGGACAGGTGGAGATGAATGCTTCTTGGTTCTTAAGTTGCCAGAGCCTTAAGAGAAAAACACTCTAGATACTTAGTTTTGGAAGCCAGTGAGTTCAAAGAGAGGGGTGACTGAGAAAACGCTCTTTTGTGTTTTGAAGGATTGACATGTATGTGGAGGGGACCCTGGATCTTCTGGAACTGATTATCATGCATCCTTTCCTCAAACCAGACGATCAGCAAAAGGAAGTGGTGAACATGGCCCAGAAGGCTATAATCAGATACTTTCCTGTGTTCGAAAAGGTAGGTGGCAGTGAAGCCTGTGAACACGGCATCACCAGACCACAAACACCCCTTTCTACTCAGGCGGAGTAAAGCTGAGCCCTGCTAGACCAACCTCCTGGACTCCCGAGGGCTCACAGGTGCCATCGACACAAAGCCAGGATGTCTTGGAGCCTCCCAGACTCTTCCAGAGTCTTCCATGTTTTCTGGGAAAAAGATGGGCTCACCCATGTGTGCACTGTCATTGCTTACATTCGCCAGGTGCCACCTTGTGCACGATACAGAAGAGAAGAAACCACCTACTTCATTCATTCTTTCATCATCCTACCTGATAGTTTGGTATAAAGAGAAGAACCATTGCTGTTTTATTTCTCTTCCCTGTGCCCTTTTTGTTTTCTCTTTTGTTATTTCTTGTCTCATTACCGTATCTGTTTTTCTGAGCTTCAAACTCCTCCTCTCTTTTCCTCAACTCAGATGGACTATTTTAAATGCTTTAGTTAAAAACCAAGAGAATGTGAAAATCTGGAATTGGCAGACTTCCTCTGGCCATTGATGTGGAATTAGATGTAAGAAGGAGGAGAGATATTTTCTGAGTGTTTCTGTCCTTGGTTTCGTAGCCTCTTTTTCTTGTTTAGTTTTTTTCTTTGTTTTTTTTGTTTTTTTTTTTGCGGTTCGCGGGTCCCTCACTGTTGTGGCCTCTCCCGTTGCATAGCAACAGGCTCCAGACGCGCAGGCTCAGCGGCCATGGCTCACGGGCCCAGCCGCTCCGCGGCATATGGGATCTTCCCAGACCGGGGCATGAACCTGTGTCCCCTGCATCGGCAGGTCGACTCTCAACCACTGTGCCACCAGGGAAGCCTGGTTTTGTGGCATCTTGCCCATAGGCAGTTTGTGAATGTAAAATACGATGATGCAGAAATGTGCTGGGACGAGGGAGGAACAGGTGCCTTGGAGAAGGGTCACTGCCAGTTCCTCTGTCCCTGTGGCCCAGACTGTGTCAGGGCTCCACCGAACATATGAGCTAAATAATTGTCACCTTCTTTTTACCCGTAATGAAATAGAATCACAGAGAGACTGGGTGACATGCCTAAGTCAGGAGCCAGGACTGCAACTCTGGACTCTTCGTCCTCTCCCTGTCTGGCTCCAGTAACTCTGTTTGATTTGGAGTCATATTAGGGTCCTTGTCACACACACGTAAACACATACTGACACTCATGGGCATCCGCAAAGGGCATCTTCCCTGTTCTACCACTGTTCCTTGCCCCTTCCCGATCACCGTCTATTCCTATGAATCTCTGCACCTGTGTTACTCTCAAAATGGGAGTCAGGATGAACTCTCATTCTTTTAATGTTCCCTGTCTTAGAAGATGTGAAAGGAAGCCTGCTTTTTTACTGTCATGTCTAGTTTATGACTGTGAGTCCTGACACACAGAAACACAGAACTGGCAAATGAGATCAGACTCCTTGGACAGGACCAGTGGCTTACGTCTTACATCACTTCCCCTGAATGCATCAGGGCTAATTCTTTTCTTTAGATACATTTATGGAATAGAGGTATCCTTTTAAAGCCCTGGATGCTAAATCTAGAATTAATAGTTCCTTCCCTTTTTTAGGGTCTCATTCTGATGTAAAGCAGATACTTAAGGATGCTTTCCTTTCTACACCTTTTTTGCTCTCTCCGTCTCATATAGGGAACTTCTTCTTAGTTGATGTTATTCGTAAAAGGATAAAAGGACAAGGTTGTAGTTTCAGCCCTTCTCAGATACTGCACTGATTCCACAGCTTCATCATTTTCTCCATCTCAAGTATTATAACCAATGTAAAATGTTTATACCCTGCAGGTTTTACGGGGTCATGGACAAAGGTTTCTTGTTGGTAATCAGCTGAGCCTTGCAGACATAATTCTACTCCAGACCATTTTGGCTCTAGAAGAGAAAATTCCTAATATCCTGTCTGCCTTTCCTCACCTCCAGGTACATAAGACAACGTTTGAGAAGATTGGCCCAGAACTCTTAGGCCTTCCTTCGATATCTGTTGTTTGGTAGGCTGTGTATGTGTGTGTGTGCACATGTGTGTGTGTAATTCTTTTAGGTTCTAGTTAGTAAAATGAAATGAAGGTGCAGACTTGAAATTGGTTTTCTGGTTCCCAGACCCTTAGAGCTGAAAGATCGTTTACGTGTGAAAGAAGTTGTCCCTCGGTATTGTTGCATGACTACACTCTTGCAACAAACTCCACACACAGTTTGCCAGTAGGGACCTGCTGTAGACGTAGCTGTAGGGACCAGGGGCTGCTCATCTGCTTGTGCTGTATGTGCTGACGGGAGGACCCGAGAGTCGCCGTCAAAAACAGCCTCGTCATCAGGGTGTGGCTCCCTTTCTCAGAAATAACATGGTCTCAAATTGGAAATTTTGGAGTCTGAATTCTGAGAGCTAATAAGAGGCACCCTAAACATCACCCCAGAAAATTCTCACCATTCTTCTTCCTCAAATTCCAAGGACAGACTTTTGTGCGTGACTCAGTTTATGTTTCGGTGTTATTCTTACAGGATCGATCATAGAATTTAGAAGCAGAAAAGGGCTTTAAAAAGCAAGTTTCATCCAATGCCTTCAATATATTGAATACATATGAAGAAATAGAGACCCAGGGTAAAGATGTCAGCAGCCTGATGGCCTCGTTAATGGGTATCTCAACTTTGTCTAGAATCTTAGCCTTTTATCTCCAAATGCAATGGGCTTTCTTCTGTGCTGGTGGGTTGGCCCCTTGGGCCAAATCAGGCCTGCCACGTGTTTTTGTATCACTCTTGAGCTAAGAGTGGTTTTTACATTTTTAAATGGTTGAAAAACTATCAAAAGAATAGTGATACTCCCTGACACATGAAATTATGTGAAGTTCGAATTTCAGTGTCCGTAAATACATTTCATTGGCACAAAGCCAGGCCCATTCACTTATGCGTTGTCTAAGGCTGCTTCTGTGCTACCACAGCAGAGGTGAGTCGTTCTGATACAGACCATATGGCCTGCAAAGCCTAGAATATTTACTAACTGGTCCTTTATAGAGAAAGGTTGCCAATCCCCTATAAAGACCAGATGGACACATCTTTGACCAAGTTATCAAAAGCCAAGAGAGACACACGCTAAATCTCCAAAGAGTAGTAACACATATACTTTAAAAAAATTTTTTTTCCCAAGTCTAGTGAACATCATTTGGACATACTAATGAGGACAGCAACCACCGGTTAAATACATAGACCCAGAAAATGAGAACAGAAATCTTCAACAAGACAAATAGCCATTATATAGTTTAGCTCTCTGTTCCTTTCTTCCTGCAGGCACAGAGATGGGCTTCTTTTTTTTTTTTTTTTTTTTTTTTTTTTTTTGCGTTACGCGGGCCTCTCACTGCTGTGGCCTCTCCCGTCGCGGAGCACAGGCTCCGGACGCACAGGCTCAGGGGCCATGGCTCACGGACCCAGCCGCTCCGCGGCATGTGGGAACTTCCCGGACCGGGGCACGAACCTGTGTCCCCTGCATCAGCAAGCGGACTCTCAACCACTGCGCCACCAGGGAAGCCCGAAACGGGCATTTTAAAGTTTGACTTTAATACCAATAGATCCCTGAAATGGCCCAAGGACCTGTGGATATTTTCCATCCATGATGCTAACAATTTGTTTTTAAATCCCAGGTACTTCTGTGTAAACAAATTTAATACCTGAACAGGTCAAGTATCAATATTAAAGGACTTCAAAATCTAACACCAGATCTGATTAAATTAAAGGGTCACTCTTGCATTGATTAAAGGGGGAAAAAAAAGTCAAAAGTCACAAAATTTTTATTATACATGACATGTGTAAGCCCCAGGTAAATCTTGAAATGATAAATCCTTTGGAAAAAGCTTCTAATTATTGGTAATAACACAAATAATACAAATACCATAATACAAATAGTTCAAATAAGTAATAAGAGAAGATTGTCATATTTACGTAGAATTAATTGACATAATTATTAGAGTTTTTGTTAATATTAGTGATATATGTATGAATGTTTGTATGCCTGCTTAATTAAGGCTGTGCTTTGTACATAGTAGACATTTAATAAATAGTAGCTTTTTAAGTAAATGACCTCTTTATTTTGAAAGATTTTGTTAGAATACTTATATATGATGGATATACAGTTCTTTGTATAGTTCAGAACTTTCACCAGATCAAATGGATTTTTCTTCTTAATTACTGAAAATTGGTAAGATTTGACTCTATGAATGAAAAATAAGATTTTTTTTCTTCCATTACAGTTAACGTGAATATCTGGTATCTGATAACTGAGCCCTAGGCTACAAAAAAATGCAACTGGCCATCTTTCACACATAGCCAGAAAGAGGATTCATTTGTTAATAGGAGTAAAACTGTCAAGGCAGCTGAATCTTAAAATGTAACTTGTACTATCTGATGAATTTTTAAAACAACTTTATTTAAGTGACTTTTATTTAAATGCATTTTTTCTGAGATCAATACATTTGAGGTACTTCCTATGTCCTTTTCGTCCTTCCTTTTTTCATTTAAGCAAGTATACTCCTATCCTAAGTATCTTTTTTATTTTTCTGTCTCTGGAAAGAGTTCACATCTTGGTATGAACTGTGAGATTTGTATAGAGCCTGGCCTAGATTCCAGCCACTGTTGGCAGAGATTATAAATGATCATACCAAGAGATCAGACCCTAAACAGGTGCTGGATGACAGTTCTATTTGGATCTCTATAGCAAATATTTATTGAATGTATTCTGATGGACCATTTTGGGGGGTTTTTTTTGTTTACTTTTTTATTGAAGCATAGTTGATTTACAGTGTTGTGTTAATTTCTGCTGTACAGCAAAATGACTCAGTTATACACATATCTATTACATTCTTTTTTATATTCTTTTCTATTGTGGTTTATCCCAGGATATTGAATATAGTTCCCTGTGCTGTACAGTAGGAACTTGTTGTTTATCCATTCTATATGTAATAGTTTGCATCTACTAACCCCAAACTGATGGGCCATTTTGCACCGCCCTATTTTCGTAGAAATGAATACCTTTGCTTTTAGCCTTGAACTTTTGCGTTTTCCCTTTGCAGGAGTTCACAGTGAAAATAAGTAATATCCCTACAATTAAGAAATTCCTTGAACCTGGCAGCAAGAGGAAGCCTCCCCCGGATGACATCTATGTGAGAACCGTGTACAACGTCTTCATGCCGTAGGACAGCAGCACGGTTGTGAGTGAGCGCTGTCCCCCAGAAATCGCTGTGTCCACAGTTGTGTCTTAACTGAAGCCAGGCTGCCGTGATCCAGCTCTGTCGTGGTGCTGTGTATATTGTTCCTAAGTTGGTCTTTCATGTCAAGGAGATCTCTTTTAGAAACATCAACCTTTTTTGTCCAGTGAGTGATTGTTATGGGACCTCTTCTGAACACCTTTTTGGAGGGGCTGGCATTTAAGTTAGATCTGCTCTGTCTACTCATTTCCTGGTAACAAGGATGGGTAGGACTTCATGTTGTCCCCTGAGCTTCTTTTCTCCTCTCCTTATCCCATTCTCAACCCCCTCCAGTCTCTTCCTGTTTTCAGTGTCTAATAACAATGGGATTCACTAGATAGTAACTCTCCTCTGAGCTATAATAATAATAGATCCATGGTAGTAATGAATGCCATTGATATTTGCCAAAATAAAGGATTTACAATTCATTGCCCTGCTGCTAGAATTTTTAAATTAAATCGTTTGGAATACATTCACATGGTTCAAATATCAAAAAAGTATAAAAGGCTATACAGTTGGAAGTGTTCTTTTCAGCCCTGTCCCCCAGTTTTCTTTGGTTCTGCTCCCTACAGGCAAACATCATTATCACTTGTATAATCCTTCCAGTTATATTTGACACAAGTATAAGAAAATAAAATATATTTAACTTTTGTCCTCTTACTACCCAAACGGTTATTTGGAGGCTTCTAATTTTTTGCATTTCAGAACTAAAAGTATGGCTTATTAATACTGCTTTAAACATGTGTTGACTTACATCTCAAATATTAATTGAGCACCTGTTATGTGCCAAGCATGGTGCCAGGAGACCCTTAGATCAGAGGCCTAGATCAGAATATTTTGCTTTAGAAAAAATTCACCACGCAGTAGGCAAGATAGATGTGTCAACAGCAGAAGTAATTTTAGAAAAGAAAGAATTGCCGCTTTGAGAGTGTCTAATAATTAGGAATTTAAAAACGGGAAAAAGGCAAGTGTTTGATCCGCGTCTCATAAAGTGGACACACTCATTCCTTACTACAGGAGGGATTTTTGCCCAGATGTGAAAAACAGACAGTTGCGAGGTGATCCTTAATGCCTGTCCCAGTCAATGCAAGCCCCTCAGGGTTTTATTAGAGGAAAATGCAACGCAGACGTGAAGATTGTTCTCTGTCTTCACATTTTCACAATGCAAGCACTCTGTCGTCGCTCTAATATTTAGAACTACTAAAGGAGCAGAGGCAGGGCAGCAGGCGCACCACCGGGCGGGCCCGAGGAGCACTGGTGGTCCCGGCTGATGTTTCCGCCAGCCTCCTGGGAGCAAGAGAACAAAAAGAAGAAAATGGGGATGGGGATGCAGTAAAGAGTCTCACCTTCCCCAGAGACAGGTCTGGCCTTGGCTTCTGGGAGGTGATCTGTAAGCCTTGGAACCTCTCCTACCATTTTGGTGGGATTTTACTATCCAGAGACACGCCCGTTAGAAGTATCTCTGTTTGCCAGGGGCCCTGGGCCAGCCAGATAACAACTATATGATTTCGGGTGTAGGCTTTGAGCCGCACCAACAATATGATGTTGGGCAGGGGCTCCGGGTCATGTGGGGTCAGCTCCACTCTGGAGGGGCTGGAGACAGATCAGCCACGTGGGCGGTCAGTCATGCCCACACGATGGCGCTCCTGTAAACTTCTGGCCTCAGACGCGGGTGGGCTTCCCCAGTGACAGAATTCTGTTGTCACACATGCTTGTCAGGAGGAGTTAGCGCTGTCCATGGCTCTGCAGAACGAAGACCTCTGGGCGCTCCAAGCCTGGAACACTCCTGGACTCTGCCCTGTGCATCTCTTCCCTGGGCCGATTTCTATCTGTATCCTCTCCGTGTAATAAACCGAAGCTGTGAGTAGGGCCGTTTTCTGTGAGCTCTGCGAGTACTTCCAGCAGATTACCAGACCTGAGGGTGTTTGGGGGACACTCCCTGAACCTGCAGTTGGTTTCTGAGCGAGGGCGGGCTTTTGGATTACTCCTTCCAACTCTTCAGGGAGGGGAAATGCTTTACACTCATTTGGAGATTAATTTACACGTGGGAACCAGACATTGACTTGATAACACCGAGGGCTCTCTATCATTGAGTTTTATGGGACGGCAGGAAATTTGAGCTAAGACCATTTGGGCGGGATTCTACTACCCAGGGCCACTGCCTGATACTATTACTCAAGGGCCTGCTGTGTAGACTGTAAGCCATAGTGCAAACAGTGCTTTGGGAGTTTTAATTCTCTTAGACACAAGAGGGCCCTCAAGGCTGGCTCTTTGAGAAAACAACCAGGGAGGAAGTTGGCTTCTGCACTGAATTGGAGGATTAGAGAAAATAAATAGGACAGGCCAATCTGCTTCCTCTGAAGACAGGTTCCCGCGTCTTTCTGCTCACGGTCACGTGACCTTAAATTGCGCAGTTCACTTCCCACGTTGGAAACAATCTCCCCTTCCCCATCCTGCACAGGTGGAGTCCCCCAGCTTTTGGGTCCAGACCCTTTAGTCTCAACACCCTCCACCCTCCCATCTTCACGAGCCACCGGACTCCGGTGAAAGAGCAGGCGGTCAGGCAGTGGATGGTTGTCCTCAAAGACGTCAGTGTGTTGAGCGTTCAGGAATGAACTAGGTAGGACCCGTGAGGCCGGGAGCCGGAGCAGAGGGCACCCACGAGGCTCACCGGCTAGACACCACAGCAGCTGAGCCAACGGGGTAAAAGTGCACGCCTTCGTGGGTCCTCCAGTGTCTGGGACAAAAGGGGGAGCTGGACGGGTGTGGGGCTCTGGTGTCTGACAGAGGAGGAGCTGCAGCGCCTAATGAGCCTGGGACCCAGCCTAAGCCACTCAGAGGGGCTTTGGCAGACTGGGTGCCCGAGGGAACGCCTGACGCTCTGGACCAGGTGCCTGGGGGGCGGGGCGATGCATGGAGGTGCCAGGCTCCTGGGGACGGGACGGGTCAGCAGAAGGTGAATTCTAGGGGGCAGTGTCTGCGGCAAACAGCCGCCAGCCCCAGCTCTCATACCTGCTCATGTTCCCTCTTTCCAGAAGATTCCATGGTGGGCTCCTTGCTCTATTAGCGCCAACATCCCCACCTAAGGGAACCCTCTGATCACGAACTCTGTAGCTCACCCCACACATTCCATACCTCTTTCTCACCACCCTATTTTATTTTCTTCAGAGCACTCGACACCCCCTGGCAATCTTCTCTGTTTGATCAATCTGTGTCTTTATATTTAAAGTGGGTTTCTTATGGAAAACATAGAATTGGGTCTTAAGCCACTCACAATAGCCTCTGTCTTAAAATTGGTGTATTTAAGACATTCACATTTAAAATGATTATTGATGTAGTTGCATTAATCTCTACCATGTTTGTGGCTGTTTTCTACTTGTTGCCCTGGTTCTTTGTTTCTCCCCCCACCTTTTTTTTGTCTTCCACTCTTTTTCTGCCTTCTCTGGTTTTATTTTATTTTATTATTATTTATTTATTTATTTTCACACACACTGTATTTTATTTTTACAAGAGATAAATAAACTGACACCAGGCATTGTAAATGGATAGCCACAACAAAAGCAACAATGATTGCAATTACCAAACACGAAACACACTCACGCAATGTCATAATATTGACATTCAGTCCAGGAATCCTCCACGATAACAGCTCCTTTACTTTGCAGTGCTTCTCTGGTTTTAACTGAGCATTTTATATGATTCCATTTTCTCTCCTCTCTTAGCATGTCAATTATAGTTGTTTTTTGTTGTTGTTGTTTTTAAGTTTTAGTGGTTGTTCTAAAGTTTCCAATATGTTTATACAACTACACTAAGACCACTTTGAGATAACGCTATACCACTTCACGGGTAGTGCGGGTACCTTATAACTATATTCCCAATTCCTCCCTCCTACCACTTATAACACTATCGTCGTAGATCTCATTTATTCATAAGCTATAATCATGTGATATATTGTTACCATTATTATTTTGAATACACTGCCTTTATTTGTTTATATATTTATACTGCCTATCTTCCCCAACTAGAATGTAAGCACCACCGATGACACTGGGTCTGTCATGCCTACCATTGTAGACCCAGAGCCTAAAACGGCACCTGACACAGAGTGGTACTTAGTAAATATTTGTTGAATGAGCTAGTGGCATCTTACTTTCTTCTTACTTGAGTATCCTGATGCTCTATCAAATACCCAAACAAGGGATGTAAAGTGAAGCCCCAGAGGTGTGTACAAACTGGAATGCTCATTGGCCAGTCCCTTGAGGGGGTGGAGATTTCAATTAGAATGGAAAGGGTTATAAACCCTCACTTAATCCACCCACAGCACCCCAAGACAAGAGCCAGGAAAAGCTAAGGTTAGTGATGATGTTCTTATCCACTCTTTTTGGCCTTGGTTGGATAGTTTTTATGGCCAAATTTGCAACTTGTAGTTAGCGGTTGTTTTAACTTTATGGTTAACTTAATGACTATTATTTCTAAACTTTTTTATATCAAATAAAAGGCAGAGATATTTTTTTCTTTCGAGTCGATACATAAATGAAAACGAGATGCAAATGTACATCTAGACAAAGCCTTTGAAGACTTCCATTGCTTGTGCATGAAATGTGCATAATATTATACGTTAAAATGCCCCCCACACCGTGTTGGACGTTAAATGTAATTTCAGAAGTAAGTATGTAAGAGTCAGGTGGTGCTTCAGTTGATAACACGCTTGGTAGAACTTAAGCATTTATTAATTCTTGAGCCATTACACTTTTTTTCTCCTCTGCCAAATCTCATGTTTTTGGACACAGTTGGAAAGAACACAGGCATCACCCACTCTGTGCCAGGTGCCTAACGGGTAAACTCAACCTCCTGCCTTCCTCGGATGCTTGGAAGATTCAGTCCAAATGATGTGACACTGGGGTCTTCCTCTGGGGTCCTGCCTCCCCAGGGGATGGCACCAACTTGAAAGCAGGAGTATCTAAGTCAAGTCCAGGCACAAATTTTTCTAGGACTTGCTCCAGTCTTGAAACAGCAGTGGGCCATGTAGTGGTTCACTTTGTTTATTCTCCAAGCAACCTGGGGTGAAGTCTCCTTCTCGGCTCAGCTGTATTTTTCATTTAAGTAAGTTTGTTAGCCTTGGGGAGATGTCAATATGAATCAATCCATTAGACCCTAACGGAAAGGAAATTTCATTTCTATAACTGAAATATAGGGCTCTCCACAGAAGAGGCTTATTAGCATGTGAGCTTGTAACAGAACTACCTCCCTAACCATCCTATTACATAAGTAACCCCTACTCCTTCCCCACCCTGGAATAGGGTTCAGTTGTTTGTGTCTTAAAAATGCCATATAAACACTTGAGCTCTTTTTCCCAGGGGGCTAGTTCCCTGTAGGATACTTTCCCTTTGGTAGCATGTCAAATCCAACTAATTAATATGTCAAATCC